AAAAAAGCGTCACTACCACCACCCATTCAATTTACGTAGGGAAACGCACAACCTATTTGGAAAACCTGATAAACTGGATGAAAGAGCAAGTTACAACTCAAAAATAAGAGCAAGAGTTCGTGTTCGGGTTTGATGAAAACATCAAGAGACAGGAAAGAGTAGGTAGCCATAAATGCAAAAGTCCTGAAAGGATAGAGTACCTGAAAGGAGAGACGAGCAAGTGAGTGTTGTTTGTGAGAAGAGGGATAGTGTATAACAGTGTTGTTCAAACGTTTTCGCCTATTGTACCTTTATTACCTTCTTGTACTGTTACGTACCCTCCCCGCCCCCCCGTCCACCATGGCTAAACGAACTGTTTTAATTAGGATAGTGCAAATAGAGTACTAATTATGAAAAGACTGCATTGCAGGAGTGTTGGTCAATAAATTCGAATTCAATACACGAATAGAAGAGATGATTTAAGACAATCGGTTCGACCGATCGTCTTAAATAATGTACATCTAGCAGATAGATAGACAAACATGTACTTATTTCTGTGTATATTCATGCCCGTATATGTAAATATTCATTGCGTCCGACCTCGCACAAATTTAACAAAGTGGCTATTAGTAAGGAGAGGAGCGATTGTGTGAAAAGTGTGTGTTTTTGGCGCGAGAATATAAATCATCTGTTTTGATGATTGTTCAATGAAACTATACATTAAAATCATTATTTTCCATCTTTTTTGAAAACTGAAGAGACTAGAATGATCGACCATATTCACAAAGCATCCGTAACGTTTGTGACGTCATCAAAATAAACCCCATGTGCTTTTTTCCAATAATTTAATCAGACGCCATGACACCTCCTCGAGTTGCTACTGATCTAGCCTCCCCCATGTAAAGACTTGTATACGTAAACTTTACTGAGGAGAGGCGGGGAGATCTCTTAATTAGTAGAATAACAGACTTGTTAACTGAGGCTTATCACAAGAGAGGCAGAAATTTTGAGTTATGAAATTCAGTCTTTTCGCTACTGTATTGTTCTATTGCTTTTTCCTTTTTCCTTTCACATGTTTATTTTATAAGGGATACGGCGACACAAAAGATATATAAAACCGTTTATTAAAACACAATAAAACATTCAAACGAACGTAAAAAACAATAAAACATAAAAAAACACTTCACTAAAAATAATAAATAAAGCACCGAATCACTTTCGTCCGAGGAATTCACTTACGAAATATCTCTCACCTCCTATGTTAATAGACCTTATTAACAACTCCTCATTTTAAGCTTTCTGGGAAGACCCACTTCGGGGTTTCCTCAAGACGACTCAAAACCAACTCTCGATTCGTCTTCACTTGCTTTTTCTTCCTCCTCACGCCAGTTCTTACGAGGGAGTGTAGAAAAATATGGTTCTTTCTTGTATACGCTGATCATATTAACGTTAAAATTAGTTTGAAATACAAAAAAGAATATACTGGTGTAATAAAGCTTGTAAAATCATTATTAGCTTGAAATAGATAAACTTTTCATAATAGAATCATCGTAAAATTTATCAAAATACGTAGAATTTAGTAAAAAAGTTGTAAATGAAAGTTCAATTAAGTAGAGTTCAAATTCTAAAAACTTCAGAAACAAAATATTGAGTTTTCTGGGTATTTCAAGTAAGGATGTAATGAAATAATAAATTCCATAAGATATAAAAATAAACGAGTTCAAACCCATCCCTTAGTTACCTTTTCTGGGTAAGAGAGAATTGCCAAAAATAAAAATACAAAATAAACTTTTATCAAGAAACGAATAAAAATAAAACAGTAGCGTTCTATGGCAACACTCTGGTTCCTCCCTACTTGCGGGATAAAGCGCTCGTACCTCGGGTTTCGGGGCGTGAAGGGGGCCGAAGTTCATATTGCAGTAATGAGGGAGATGCAAGGGAGACTGTGGCAATATGGAGTAGTCTCTCCCATAATTCCCGAAGAAGGTACAAGGTAAAACGTCGCCATACCGCGGCTACGACAGGAGTGTGTTGCCAACTCGAGTTCGTCAGTTTCTGCCGGAGAGGGAAAATGCGTATGGAGATATTTTGCATTTTTGTATCTTCTGAAGGAGTGAGACGACGTAATTTTGCGATGTCGTCCATTACATGTGTCTAAGGGTGGGGAAGGAGATTGGGTGAATATTGTGGTGGGAGAAGGGTGGGGGTGGGGTGAATCTGGGGAGGTGGGAGGAAGGGTGGGGAGAACAAATGGTGAATCCTGGGTGGGGAAGGGTGGGGAGGCAGGGGTGAATCCTGCCCTCCCTACCCTTCCTCCCCACCTTGGGATTCACCCCTGAATCCTAAGGTGAGGAAGAGTGGGGCAGGACTGGGGGGGTGACAGAAGAGGGAAGACGTGATAGCTAATAAATAGCAGCGAGTTCTTGTCAAGGCACGCTTATGTAGGCCGTGCTTTTTTTTTTTTTGGGGGGGGGGGAATTGCGTGCTGTTAAAAATCAACCATGTTTTAACCACATTATGTTGCTCGTCGTTTGCTTTAGTACTGCGCGCAAATCTCATAAAAACAGTTGATGAATATGAACACGTTTTGTGCGTTCTGGGTTATTCACGTAAAGCTTTCTATTATCTTGCAGCCCGATTTGCGGTGTTGCTGAGCTGTTGCAGTTCCATTATGCAACGGCTCATTCATTCGCTCGGGAAGGGAGGGGAGCTGATGCGTACACAAACAGACACACCTACATGTTTACAAACAAGCACACACACATACAAATCCAAACACACGCACACACACACATACACACAAACACACACACACACACCACACACACACACACACACACACACACACACACACACACACACACACACACACACCACACACACACACACATATATATATATATATATATATATATATATATATATATATATTTCATTTTTTCAGTTTTTCCCTTCCTCTTTCCTTCCGTTTCATCCGTTTTTTTTTCTCTCTCCCACGTATACATACATACATAATACATTATATATATATATATATATATATATATATATATATATATATATATATATATATATATATAGATAGATAGATAGATAGATAGATAGATAGATAGATAGACATATTCATATGTCTCTCTCTCTCTCTCTCTCTCTCTCTCTCTCTCTCTCTCTCTCTCTCTCTCTCTCTCTCTCTCTCTCTCTCTCTCTCTCTCTCTCTCTCTCTCTCTCTCTCTCTCTCTCTCTCTCTCTATATATATATATAATATATATATATATATATATATATATATACGTGGAGAGAGAGAAAAAAACATAGCGGATGAAACGGAAGGAGAGAAGGGAGAAGAAACTGAAAAAATGAACTGGCGGAGGGAAGGGAAAACGGATGGGGAATGAGAGAGAAGAGCGGACAGGAAGGGAACAGAGGGGGGGGGGTAGCAGAGGGGTGGAGGGATATAGGTCAAATCCCGGAAGTTACAAGAGGGACTCGGGTTGCACGCCATGTTGCAATATCCTTATTTCTCTACTGTGACAATCTTTGGCCCCAAAACTCGTAAATTCGTCGCCACTCTCTCATAACACGCTGTTGGTTATTCCCCTCCCCCCTCTCCCCCTCTTTTCTTCTTTGTTCTTTCTCTCCCTCCTCTCTTTTCTTCCTCCATACACCCCCCTGTTCATGAGGGTGGAAGGGGGAGGAGGGGAGGGAGAGGGAGGGAGGGAGGGGGAGGGTAGGAAAGGGAGGCGAAGGGAGGGGAGGGAGGAGGGTAGGACAGGAAGCGAAGGGAGGGAGGAGGGAGGGGAGGGTAGGACAGGGTGAGGGGAAGGGAGGTAGGGCAGGGTGAGGCGAAGGAGGGAGGCAGGGGAGGGTAGGACAGGGTGAGGGAAGGAGAGGAGGGGAGGTAGGACAGGGTGAGGGAAAGGGAGGAGGGGGGGGTAGGACAGGTGAGGGAAGGGAGGGAGGAGGGAGGGTAGGACAGGGTGAAGCGAAGGAGGGGAGGGAGGGAAGGACAGGGTGAGCTCTTAAGGGTATCGTGTGGACTTCCTCCTCCGCCGCGGTGGGTCTTCAGCGCCGTCCCTCCGCCAGGTGACTTGAGCGTTCGCGGTGCAGCAGGGTACAGGAACCTCTGTGGTACAATGCGTGGTACAAAAGGATGAGAGGGGACTTCTGGCATCCTTGTGACATGTGGTACAACGACTTACAAGGGGTTTCGGGGCTAAAGTGGCAAATGGTACAACGGGGTACAATTCTGGTCTTTTAACACTCGAGGTACTTTGTACAACAGGGTACAAAAAGCGGCCTATAAATCTCCTTGGCGCGTGGAACAACAGGGTACAATCGACTCCAGAGTCTCTTTGGTATACGGTATTACAGGGTACAAACAGTTCGCTAAAGTACAGTACTAGATAGGGTACAAACTTGTCCCAAAGATTACACGTCACGCCAAACGGATGGGTACATTTTTTATTTTTTTTAATTTTTTGAACTCAACATTTCTCCATAAAATACCAAATTGTGCCCAATGAACTGAACAGAAAGTTTCGTATTCGAAGCGTTTCGGTCATAATTTTTGGACAAAAGGAGGTCAGAGCTGTGCGTTCCGATATTTACGATTTTGACCTATACCGGTTCAGTGACGTCATAACTTCCGGTGTGCAGCAGGAGAGATGTGACGTGTGTGATGACCAGAATGATGCGTGACGTATGAGTGTGTTTATTTGTGATTTATGTCAGTTTGTTTGGGTTGTTGTGTGTACATATCAGTTGCGTGTGTACGTTTTTTTTCAAGCGTATGTATACTGTTATATGAGGTTGTGAATTCTTCCATGTTGGGTTATCATCATTATTGTCGTCCTCGTCGTTGTAGTTGTTATGATTGTTATCATTATTACTATTACTACTATCAGTCTACAATATGTCTGTCTAACGGTCTATCTACCACACAAACACACATAAACACACACACACACACACACACACCTCTACGTATATTAACCAACTCCACGAGCCCATTCGGTCCGCATTAATTTCCCGGTTCCCTCTTCGGCGATCTGCAACGAAGAGCGACGTCATTCCCTTTGTGTCTTGGGGAACGACGTGTCCAGGGCGGGGCCGACGTGTCCAGGGCGGGTGTCCAGACGGTGTCCAGGGCGGGGCCGACGTGTAGTCCCAGGCGAGTGCCAGGACGTTCCAGGGCGAGCCGGACGTTCCAGGGGCGACGGCCGACGTGTCCAGGGCGGGGCCGACGTGTCCAGCGGACGTAGGGCGGACGTGCCAGACGTATCCAGGGCCCGACGTGTTCCAGGGCCGACGTGTCAGGGCGGGGCCGACGTGTCTGGGGGGCCGAGGCCGACGTGTCAGGGCGGGCCGACGTTCCAGGGCGAGGCCGACGTGTCCAGGCCGCGGTCCAGGGCGGGGCCGACGTGTTCCGGCGGGGGCCGACGTGTCCAGGGCGGGCCGAGTTCCAGGGCGGGCCGACGTGCTCAGGGGCGGCCCGGCCGACGTGTCCAGCGGCCGGCCGCGCCGACCGTGCTCCAGGCCCCGCGCTGCCGACCGCTCGTACCAGTGGCGGGCGCGACGCTGTTCCAGGGCGTGCCGCAGCCGACGTGCCAGGGCGGGGCGACGTCCCGTCCAGGGCAGGGAGGACAGACGCCTGTCCAGGACAGAGGCCGAACGTCGTCCAGGGCACCCAGGCACACGCGACGACAGTTAGGATCCAAAGGGCAAAAAGGGACGCCCGACGTTGTCCAGGGCCCGGGGCCGACGGTGTCCAAGGGCGGAAGGCCGATACTTTACCCGAGTATGTCAAGGGCGAAAAGGCCGGAACGTGTCCAGGCGGGGCCGACGTGTCCAGGGCGGGGCCGAGCGTGTCCAGGGGCTAAAAGAAGGGTATCCGACGTATCTCAGGGCGGGGTCCGACGTGTCCAGTGGCGGGTGGCCGAACGTGTCCAGCAGGCGTGGGCCGACCGAGTCCAGCAGAGGGCCGACGCTGTCCAAGAGGCGGGGCCGAGAAACTGGTACCAAGTGGACGGATGGCCGACGTGTCAGAGGCAGGACAGGCCGACGATAGTATCAAGGACGGGTGCCGCGGTACCTAGGGCAGGGAGCCGACGTCGTCCAGGGGCGGGCCGACGTGTCCAGGGCGGAGGCCCGACGTGTCCAGGGCGGGGGCCCGAACGCTGTCACAGGGCAAGAGAGCGAACTTGTCCAGGGCGGTGAGCCGGCACGATGTCCAGGGGCGGGGGCCGAACGGATCCAGGAGCGGGGCCGACGTGTCCAAGGGCTAGGGGCGAACGGATACCAGGGCGGAAGGCTCGAAACGTGATCCAGGGTCGGAGAGCCGACGTGTCCGAGCGGAGGCCGACGTGTCCCAAGGACGGGGCCACGTGGTCCAGCGAGCGAAAGCCGACGTAGTCCAGGAGCGGGGGCTCGACGTGTCCAGGGCGGGCCAGACAGAGATCCAGGCAGGGGACGTGTAACCAAGAGGCAAGGGGCCGACCGTGGTCCAGGGCGGGCCGACGTGTCCAAGGGACAAGGAGGCCGACGTTGTCCGGGCCAGGGCCGACAGGATGTCCGGAGAGCGGAAGCGAAAACGTAATACCAGGGCACGAGGCGACGTTCTCCAGGGCCGGGGACCAGACGTGATCCACCCGGGCGGCGGCGACGTGTCCAGGGCGGGACGACGTGTATAGAGGCACACAAGGGACGACCCTCGATCGATTCCAAGCAGGGACGATTACGTCCAATGGGGCAGGGTGCGACTGTGTACCCCAGGCGGGGACCGACGATGTCACAAGGGCACAGGGCCGCCGTTGTCCAGGGCGGGGCCGACGATAGTCCAGGAGCCAGGTAGGCCAGGACGTGATCCAGGACAGGACCCGGGACCGACGACCACTGCTCCAGGGCGGGGACCGACAGTCGCTACCAAGGTCGGATACACGGACCACGTTGCATACCAAGGGCGTAAGGAGGGAACGACGTGTCCAGGGCGGAAAGGCACGTACGTAGATCCGCAGGCCCACCGGAACCTGACGTGTCCAGTGCCAGAGAGCCGATCCGTAGCCTCCAGGGCTGGGACCCCCGACGTGTCCCCAGGCGGGACCGACGTGTCAGGGCAAGGGTAGCCTGACGTGCCCAGGCCCGCGACAGACCGCTAGGGTCCAAGGCCAAGGGAACATGATCCAAGGAGCGGGGCCGAATTCACATATACAATGGCGTGGCGAGGACACGTGCTGATACATCGGTGGCGGCCGACGTGTCCAGGGACTGGAGACAACAGATGAACTACCAAGGCCACGGGAACGGTTCCAGGGCAGGGGGCCGACGTGTCCAGGGCCGGGCGCACAGTGTCCAAGGGCGGAGGACCTGACGTGTCCAAGGGAGCGGACCCCGGCACCGACGTGTACACAAGGGGAGGGGGGCCGAAAACGTGTCCAGAGGCGGGACCGACGTCGTGCCAGGGCAGGGACGACGTGTTTAGGGCGGGACCGACGTGTCCAGGGCGGGACCGACGTGGTCCAGGGCGGGGCGACGTGCACAGGGGCGGGGCGTGACTGTCCAGGGCGGGGCCGACGTGTCCAGGGTGGAGGCACTCCAGGGCGGGGGCCCGACGTGTCCAGGGCGCGGGGGCCGACGTGTCCAGGGCGGGACCGACGTGTCCAGGGCGGGGCCGACGTGTCCAGAGGCACAAGAGGGCCCGACCCGCTAGTACCATGAGGCGGGCCACGACTGTCCAGGGCCAGGGAGCCGACGTGTCCGGCAGAAACCCCGACGTGTTCCAGGGCGCACCGAGACCGACGGTGCTCAGGAGCCGGCAGAACCGACGGTCCTCAAGGGCAGGGACCAACGTAGATTCAACAGGGCGACGCGCCGGACGTTGGTCCAGGAGCGGGGGCCGACGTGTCCAGGGCGGGGCCGACCGTGCCATGGGCAGGAGGCTCGACGTGTCCCAGGGCGGGGACCGACATGTCCCAGGCCGAGGCCGAGTGTTCCAGGGCAGGAAAGGCGACGTAAAGTCACAGGGCAGTCGCCAGAACGCGTCAATAAAAGTAAATAGTACCAGGGCGGGACGGACGTGTCCAGGGCGGGGCCGACGTCGTCCAGGGCGGGGCGGACGGTCCAGAGGCGGACCACCGTGATCCAAGGCAAGGACGTGTTACAACAAGGGGCGATCCGGAACCGAAAACGTTGTCACAGGGCGGGACCCGACTAAGGATGAGTCCAGGGCGGGGGCCGACGTGTCCAGGGCGGGGCCGACGTGTCCCAGGGCGGGAACCGGACAGATGTCCAAGGCAAAAGAAGGAAAAAAAAAAAAAAAAAAAAAACAAAAAAAAAAACAAAACAAAACAGTGTCCAGGGGCGGGGACAGACGTGTCCAGGGCGGGACCGTGAACGATGTCACCAAAAGCAAAGGGACGACTGTCCAGGGCGGGACCGAACGTGTATCCATGGAGCGCGTGGCGACTGTGTCCAGGGCGAGCGGCCGACGCCTGTACAGGGACAGGGGCGCGTGTCCAGGCGTACACGGCCGACAGGTGTTCCAAGCGCGTGGCCGACGTTGATCATCAAGACGACGGGAGCCCGGACGCCATGAAAATATCACAGGGCGGGAAACCGACTGATAGGTCCAGGCCGGGACCCGCGTGGTCCAAGCAAAGGGAACGTGTCCAAGGCGGGTGCCCCGAAACGTGTCCAGGGCGGGGCGACTCCAGGGTCGGGGCCGACTGATTGTCCAGGCGGGGCACGACGATGTCAGAGCGGAGGGCCGACGTGTCCAGGGCAAAAGGGGCCGACGTGTACACTAGGGCAGAGGGCCGACGTAGTCCATGACGGCGAAGTAGGACGACGTGTCCAGGCGGGCCGACGGTGTCCCAGGGCGGGGGCCGAGCGGCCAGGGCGGGGGGCCGACGTGATCCAGGCCGCGAAGGGCCGACGTGTCCAGGCGGGGCCGACGTGATCCAGGCGGAGGCCGAACGTGTACCAGGGCGGCGGCCGAAGTGTCCAGGGCGGGACCTACGTGTCCAAGGCAGGACGTGTCCAGGGCAGGGACCGACGTGATCCAGGGCGGACCGACGTGTTCCAGGGCGGGGCCGACGTGTCCCAGGGCCGGGGGCCGACGTGTCCAGGCGGGGCCGACGTGTCCAGGCCGGGACGTGTCCAGGGCGGGGCGACTGTCCAGGGCGGGACCGACGTGTCCAGGCGGGACGTGGTCCAGGGCGGGGACCGACGGTCCAGGGCGGGGCCGACGGTGTCCAGGCGGGGCCGCGTGTCCAGGGCGGGCCGACGTGGTTCCAGGCGGGGCCGACGTGTCCAGGGCTGGGCCGGACGTGTCCAGGGCCGTAGGGGCCCAGGGCGCCCGCAGCGGGCCCGACGTGTCCAGGGGGCCGACGTGTCAGGGCAGTGGGGTGGGGCCGAGTGTCCAGGGCGGGGCGACGAGGGGCGGGCCGACGCCCAGGGCGGGGCCGAACGTGTTCCACGGGCGGGCGACGTGTCCAGGGCGGGGCGACGTGTCCAGGGCGTGTCAGGGCGGGGCCGGACGTGTCCAGGGCCGGGGCGACGTGTCCAGGGCGGGGCGACCGTGTCCAGGGCGGGGCGACGTGTCCAGGGCGGGCCGACGTTGTCAGGGCGGGGCCGACGTGTCCAGGCGGGGGCCGACGTGTCCAGGGCGAGGCCGACGTGCCCAGGGCGGGGCCGACGTGTCCAGGGCGGGGCCGACGTGTCCAGGGCGGGGCCCGACGTGTCCAGGCGGGGCCGACGGTCCAGGGCGAGGCCGACGTGTCCAGGGCGGGGCCGACGTGTCCAGGGGCGGGGCCGACGTGTCCAGGGCGGGCCGACGTGTGTGTCCAGGGCGGGGCCGACGTGTCCAGGGCGGGCCGACGTGTCCAGGGCGGGCCACGTGTCCAGGGCGGGGCCGACGTGTCCAGGGCGGGGCGACGTGTCCAGACCACGGGCCCGACGTGTCCAGGGCGGGGGCCGACGTGTCCAGGGCGGGCCGACGTGTCCAGGCGGGGCCGACGTGTCCAGGGCGGGGGCGCGACGTGTCTCCAGGGCGAGGCCGACGTCCAGGCCGAGGCCGACGTGTCAGGGCGGGGCGACGTGTCCAGGGCGGGGCCGACGTGTCCAGGACGGGGCCGACGTGTCCAGGGTCGCCAGGGCGGGCGACGTGTCCAGGGCCGGGGCCGACGTGCCAGGGCGGGGGACCGTGTCCCAGGGCGGGGCCGACGTGTCCAGGGCTGACGTGTCCAGGGCGGGGCCGACGTGTCCAGGGCGGGGCCGACGTGTCCAGGCGGGCCGACGTGTCCAGGGCGGGGCCGACGTGCCCAGGGCGGGGACGTGCCAGGGCGGGGCCGACGTGTCCAGGGGGCCGACGTGTCCAGGGCGACGGCCGACGTGTCCAACGTGCCAGGCGGGGCCGACGTGTCCAGGGCGACCGACGTGTCCAGGGCGGGGCCGACGTGTCCAGGGCGGGGCCGACGTGTCCAGGGCGGGGACGTGTCCAGGGCGGGACGTGTCCAGGGCGGGGCCGAGGGCGGGGCGACGTGTCCAAGGGCCGACGTGTCCAGGGGCGGGCGACGTGTCCAGGGCGGGGCCGACGTGTCCAGGGCGAGGGACGTGTCCAGGGAGGGGGCGGGGCGACGTGTCCAGGGCGGGCGACGTGTCCAGGGCGACGTGTCCAGGGCGAGGGGGCCCGACGTGTCCAGGGCGGGGCCGACGTGTCCAGGGCGGGCCGACGGTCCAGGGCGGGGCCGACGTGTCCAGGGCGGGCCGACGTGTCCAGGCGGGGCCGACGTGTCCAGGGCGGGGCCGACGTGTCCAGGGCGTGGCCGACGTGTCCAGGGCGGGGACGACGTGTCCAGGGCGGGGCCGACGTGTCCAGGGCGGGGCCGACGTGTCCAGGGCGGGGGCCGACGTGTCCAGGGCGGGCCGACGTGTCCAGGGCGGGCCGACGTGTCCAGGGCGGGCGACGTGCCGGGGCCGACGTGTCCAGGGCGGGGCCGACGTGTCCAGGGCGGGGGGACGTGTCCAGGGCGGGGCCGACGTGTCCAGGGCGTTGTCCAGGGTGTCCAGGGCGGGCCGATGTCCAGGGCGGGGCCGACGTGTCCAGGGCGGGAACGTGTCCAGGGTTCTTTCCCTGTTTTTCATGACCTGTTTCTTTTCGAATACGGAATTAGGGAGTATTGTTGAATTTATTTTTTTTCTCTCTGTCTTTCTCAAATTTATTAATTTCAGTTTATATTTCGTTCGGTAATTTTTTTCAGTTCATTGGCTCACGTATCTTTATTTTCATTACATCCGCAAAGTTAATAATTCATTTTGATGCCTGGTTTTATTATCATTCATTTTCTCTTTGTCTCTCTCTCTCTCTCTCTCTCTCCTTTCGAATATGGAACTATCAAAATATTCTTCCATTTCTTAGTTTCACTATTTCTTTTCTCTTTTTTGCCTTTATTTCGTTTCATTCGTTCTCTCTGTTCCTTTGTTTACATTCTTATGTTTTCTGGTCCTTTGTCTTCTCCGTTTGCTGTGCCCCCTTTTTTTAGCTATTACATTATTTGATTTATTCTGTCTCTCTTTCTGTAGATTAAGATGCATTTTTAAAAGTCTTTTAAAATTAATTTATTTATGTTATATGTTATCTTTTGTTTTCTTTTTGCTTGTGTTAGACCTTTTTTCGACTTCATTTAAGGTTAATTTCTTTCTTTCTTTCTATGATTTGGAATTCTTTATTTTATTGTAGTGCTTCAATGGATCTACTCTTTTGTTATCTTTTGTTTTCTTTTTGCTTGTGTTAGACCTTTTTTCGACTTCATTTACATCCTTCTCTTTCTCTTGTTTAGTGAACTATATATATATATATTTTTTATTCCTATTTCTATTGGTTGCTTATGCTTCCCTCTCCCCTTCCCCCATTTTCTTAAATTCGTTTTTTTTTTGTTTCCTCATGCACTATCTTCGTCCATTTGTTAATGAGATAATCAGCTTTTCTGTTCTATCTTCAAATCCTTATTTTCATCGTTTTTCTTTCGTTTGTATGTGTTTCATTTTCATTTTCTTTCTGTTAGCTCTCCTTCCAACTAGTCTTGTTTTTTTTTCCTTTCTGACTTTTCACTACTTTTTTTTTCTTTTCTCTCTTCTCATCTTTTTTCGTTTTTATCTTCATTATCCTCATTATCATGGCTTGTCTCTCTTTTTTTTTTTATCCATTTTGCATTCACTCATTTTTTTCTCTGGTGTATTTCTTTTGACTTTTTATGTGTCTTGCTCATTATTCTGTTCTTCTTTTGCTTCTTCTTCTGTTTCGTCTTCGTCTTTTCTTGACTTGTACCTTCTTCCTTTTTCTCTGACTTCTGGTCTTTCTCTCTTCTTCCTTCCTTCTCGTTTCCCCTTTCCTTTTTTTCTTTACCTCTTTTTTATTTTGCTTTTCACTCTCTTTCTCTTCCCGTTACCTCTGCCTCCTTTTCATTTTCATTTTCCCTCTCTCCTTCCTCTTTTATTTCTCCTTTTTCTTTTCCTCTTCCCTCTCTCCTTCTCTTCTTATATCTCCTTTTCCCCTCTAAATCTTCAATTTCCCTCTCTCCTTCCCCATTTACATTTCCCTCTCCCTCCTCTCTTTCCCCTTTTCCTTCTTCCCTCTCTCCTTCCCCTTCTCCTTCTCCTTTTCCCTCTTCCTCCCCTTCTTCTCCTTTCCCCCCTTTTTCTCCTTTTCTTCCTCCT